AATTTTCTCAAAAAGATTGCTCTTTGTAGACTATGTTGCCTAGATTGCAGGATTTAATTTTTTTTTCATCTTCTACTAGCTTATTTACAAAATTTGAATACATTGTTTTCAAGAACAAAATTGAAAGGATTTAAATTTTGACTAATTTCAAAACTCAAGATGTTTATATCAACTTGATTTTTCCAAGCACGAAGTATCTGAGGGCCACCTGGTTGGAGTTCATGGACCAGTTAGGGGAAGAATGAATACAAGTCATTTCCCTTGACTCAGTAAGTTCAAAGCAACTAAGATATTTCTGTTCCAGAAAGAATATGAGTCTGAAATTCAGAGGTATATAATTTTTAAAAAGTGTTTATCCCAGGAGCATAACAGTTAGAGACACATCTTCTCAGCGTTTGGTGCTCAATTCTGTCTGCTGTTTAAGTTGATGACTCTCAAAGGGACTTGAAGGATGTGAATTAGAGAATTAGATTAGAAGTAGAGAAAGTACTTGCTTGGGATCCCTGCCTAGAGTGGATATGTCCATGTTTTTCTGTGTCATGCCTCTCAGAAAGTTCTTCTCATAGACCTGAGGTGGGCCAGCCAAGCAATGCCCCACACCCCCAACAGAATGTGATTTCCTTTTCCCCACAGCCTGACCACAGAGCTCAGGGCTGCTTCTCTGTTGAGTCAGTAAGATCAGTCAAACACCCGCTAGGAATCAGACCACAATGCAGAAACCAAAGCTGATCCTTGCTCATTATGTGATTCCAACTTATGTCCACTCTGTTATTACAGAGCAAAGGAGTTCAGCTGGCTTAGTCTGTAGGGAATTGTGCTGCTAATCCAAAAGTTGTGCCTCTCTGTTTGTTTGAAAATCATTAGCAGCTCTTCAGGAGAAAGATTTATAGCCTTTGAAACCCAGTGGAGGGCAGCTTAACAACACTGGGTTATTATCATATTGGAATTGCTCCAGAAGCTGATCTCCAGGCCTTTCCTCTTCGGTGACCTGGAGTGGGTTTGAATTGCCTACTTTTACCAGGGCTCCCTCAGATAGCACTCAAGTACAAACCATGTGTGTTATTAGCACTGCCTCCGAAAGGCATCTTGTTTTTATTATGTGTTTTCACATCATCTACAGCTCATAGGGACCCTATTGCACAGCAGCTCTGAACCCTGCCTCATCTGAGCCAGTTTCACTGTCTCTGATACACCTACCTTCAGTACTTCAGTGACTGTGTCAATTCATCTCATCCAGGGTCTACCTCTCCTTTGCTCCACCCTTCCAAGGATGATCTTCGTCTCCAAGGACTGGTCTGTCCTGGCAATATGCCCAGAGTATGTTGAAAATTTTGCTGAAGATTATCCAAAAATGTCTGGAGTAGTCCATTGACAGAGAACTTCCGGGGTTTAGAAGAGGCCATGGCACTAGGGACATCACTGTCAGCGTCAGGAGGATCTTGGCTGAAAGCAGAGACTATCAATAATCATGTTGTTGTTGTTGTTATTTCCTGTTGAGCAGCTTGTGACTCACAGCAATCCTGTGTATAATAGCTCTGAACCCTGCCCTATCCTGAGCCAATCTCTTCATCTCTGACAGAACTAGTCCCATTTTTCCAGTCACTGAGTCAATCCATAGAAGATGCATAATTGACATTCACTGAATACATAATACACATAAATTCCATTTGGATATTCCTCTTGGTAAGAGGTGTGCTAAGGCAGCATGGCCATGTGGTTGGAGTTTCCCTGCCTTTGCCCAGTTGCAGGACTCCAGGGACCTGGAGTTGTATGAGGCAGAAGCCCTCTCCTCTCCCTGTCTTTCAGCCTGCCCCGCAGAAAAGGTCTTAATGAGCAGAGAGATGCCAAAGAGCAGGGGACAGGCAGGCAAAGAGCTAGAACAATTCAGTGACCTTTGACCAACCTGAGGGTGATGTGTAAAACAATGAAAAGGGTGTAAACACTTGGTTAAAAGCTGTAGTATGAAGGATCCTGAATGTTTGTGCGTGAGAGAGAACATGTATGAGAAACTGACCAAGTGTCAGAGTGTATGTGGGGAGTGTGTGTGTGTGTGTGTGTGTGTGTTCTGTTGTTGTGTAGACATACTTGAAAACCCACAAACAGAAATTTTAGAGAAATACACCATTATTTCCTTTGGGCATCATAATACAGACGGGCTTGGTCCTTTGAAATGCTTCTCCTTAGAATCCGAGCTGCTTCTCTTCTGAGCAGATCAATAAGAAGAAAGTAGATGCGCTGCCAGGCACGGTTGTCTTTGTGGAAAGCAGAATGCTCAGAAGGTCTTTGTTTCCTCTTCCACTTCTCCTATTAATCACTGCTGACAGGCAAGTGCTCAGAAAAATTAAGACAGCAACAGCCAAGGGTCAAAATATTTGCCTCTTTTTAAAAAAAAAATGATACAAGCTGCTTAACATTTTGCACGTATCATAGCAGTAAGTATCTTAAATGAATCCAGCCCAATGGATTCAGAAAAATGGACCAATTAGAAGGAAAAATTACTCTGAACACACAGAAATGGGAGTGAAGGGAAGCCCCACCATGAGATCCATCCAAACTTCCTGGCGTTGTAATCAAAATATATGATGGCTTGATTTCATCCGAGTGGCGAGCGGCTTCCCAAATATATCTGTGCTGTCATGTATATTAGGGCCGAGGGTGCTCTTTCCATTTTCATTGTGAATTCGTTAGCAAAGATCTGAGGAAATGATAGATCTTAATTAAACAATAGGTGCTGCATTTGGAAAGGGTGACAGAGCCAGCCCTGGCTGTTAGAGAAGTAGAAGACCTCGCTGTTGTCAAGCTCACTCACTCTTCTCTCCCCGGGGTGACTGACTGGACCCCCACACCCACTCAGGAGGGCCATGTGGAAGGTGCTTCTTCCATTTCTGCCCACCTTCCTGGGTGAACCACTTGATAGGATTTTGATTGGATACATACAATAGTTTGCAAACAAGAGTATTTTATATTTTCCCCCAGTAAAATAGTTTCAGGGAATTACTGCCACTTCGTATCTGTTAACAACTAGAGCTTCTTTAACAAAGAAAAGGGATAATGGCAGGCATTTTTTCATGCCCTTCATGATTCTTGGAGGTGCCTTATTAATCAAATCTTATTAATAGTTTACTTGCATAGCCTGGTTTCTTTTGAACTTATCCTCAGCTTCTGTGTCCTCCGTGTGCAGTGAGAGTGTGTATTTATTCCCTCCCTGATCTGGAGAGACAGAGAGCAGTGTTTTCATGCATGTTTTTCAGACACCAAGAAGGTGCACAGCCCACAGACACTTGCAGACCTCAGTGACTACACACAGAAGCTGGCCTCTCAGGCAGAGGGTGGGCGCCTGCACAGGTTCTTCCTCTCTTAGCTCTCCATGTGCTCTTCAGCACAGACACCATTCCAGCCCCCACCCTGGGTCCCTGCAGAGCCAGGCTCAAGTACTTCCTCTAGCTAGATCCCTGATTACTTCCACCTACATGGATTATGCTTTTTTGAAACTTATTTTGCTACTGTTGTTGAGGCTATACAGAGCAAAACATGTATCAATGCAACAGTTTCTGCACATACAGGTTTTTAAAATTTCTATTTTATATTGGTTTGCTTACAAAGTGTGTATACATTGTGTTTCACGCTATCCTTCATTCACATTGTGTTTCATACAATCATTCTAATTAATTTTAAAATTAATCAACACTGGACTGTGCTTACCATTGCTCTGTCTTTTCAGCTCCTTGCTGGATACATATACAGTTAAAAAAAAAAACAACAAAAAACAAACCAACAAACAAACCCAAAACAACCCTCAAACTCATTGCTTTAGAGTCAGAATTAACCCATAGCTGACCCCTGCAGCAGGTTTTCAGAGGCTGTAAATCATACAGGAGGGGACTGATGAGCTTTCTCCCTTGGGGCAGTTGGTGGGTTTGAATTGCTTGCCTTTGGTTTGGAAGTACAATTCCCTATCCACTAAGCCACAGTATCCAATTGGCGTTTGTAAATAGGTTGTATATCCATTCTCACCTCCTTTTCTTACTTGTTCCTCCCCATTAAGATAAAGGTACTCACTGCCCACCTGAGCTTTTGAGTTGTCAATTTAATCCCATTTAGGTGGTAGTTCATGAAAGATCACAATGCTCTGGATACATCTGTTTCACTAGTTGAGCTAAACTGTTACTCTGTTTTAAGAAGACTTAAGGGGATGCACAATGATTACTATTTAGTTGGAAGCTTATTTTCCATATTGGTGCTTGGATTATTAATTGTATATGTTTGGTGGTGGGTATCCTTTGTTATTAGTCAACTGATAAATAACTGTGGAGTCTGCTTCCTGGTTTATGTGTTTTTATGCTCAGGCAGAGCACCCAGAGTGGTATTAAAGGCCATTAAGTCGCCTCTGACGCCTGGTGACCCAGCATGTTACAGTATATGTTACCCAGCCTCACACGCACCAACCGTAGTGCACATATCAGAAGCATTTTTGAACAAACAAATGTGTTCCAGCATTTGCTGCATTACTTTTTTCCTTTTATATTGGTTTGCATGCACAATTTATATCCATTGTGTTTCATATGTGTACACTGTGTTTCACGCAGTCTTTCATTCGTGTTGTTTCATTTCATCATTAACATACATTGTTTTATAAAATTAATTAATGCTGACCTGTGTCTATTATTACCTTGTCTTTTCAAGTCCCCATTGAATCTTTCCTACTTTTTCACAAACACCCATCTACCCACTAAACTCTGGTATCCTAATGATTTTCCCTTTTCCCATTTCCTGGCCACTTTTCTCTTCTCCCTTCCCTTTTTGTCATCTTACACATCTGTTTCTCCTTCTAGTTTTACAATAATGACCTTATGCAATATTTGTCCCATGAGACCAGCTCCCTAACTTTTACATAGAAGTAGAGGGTGGGCTCCATCCTCTGTAGGCCTTTGATGCATGTTACCCCATCATTCCCTGGGACCTAGGGGCCACATTCCTGACTTCTGTCATTTTCATTTCAGTCCTACATGGAAGACCACTTGAAGAATAAGAACCGGTTGGAGAAGGAGTGGGAGGCACTGTGTGCCTACCAGGCAGAGCCCAACAGCTCGCTGGTGGCACAGCGGGAAGAGAACATGCAGAAGAACCGCTCCCTGGCCGTCCTGACATGTGAGTACAGCCCCCTGTGTGACATGGTGCATGCATTTCTGCTAGGAGTGGGAACTGCATCTTCATCTCTTTCTTTTTGACTGCCATTCTCACAAACTGGAAAGCCATTCCCCTGATCTTTCCCTTCACCCTAGTCTTTACTGGGAAACTTAAACTCCTCTTTAAAGACTGTGGTAATCATCACCTCCTGTGTGAAGCCTTCCCAGCTTAAACTAGCCACAGTTCTTTCTTCCTGTGTAATATGGTGGCATGGCCATGGTAGCAGGGATTTGGGGAACATCTAAATCCAAGAGGAATATTTGCTCTGTTATGTTCTCTTAGCTCTGTAATTTAACAGAAGTTTCTTAATCGCTGAGCCTTTTTTTCCATCTGTAATTTGAATCACACTGTCTTCTTTGAAATATTACTGCCAGTAGAATTAGTTGAGGCAGTGACCACAGGGCCCTACCAGGCAGGTTTTATTACTCAGTTGCTGTTTTACTGAATCCTGAGATGCTCCATGTTCCTCTTTGTGTGCCAAAGTGTATTCCAAAGTCTATCACCACTCCCTGGGACATAGTCGGTAACTGTGATGCTTCAGGTTATGTGTCAGCTTGGCTGCCTGTGGTTCTCTGGTTTGAGAGGGATTCTAAATCCTCATTTGGAGTTTCTGGTTTTGATCTGAGCACTTGGGGCCTATTAAAGCTGGAAGGAAGGGTTAATAGGAGAAAATAATTTCTTTATTTGCCTGTGACATTGGTGGTGTTAGAAAGAGGCTGTTTGTAAACTGACTGGGTCCTCCTCTTACTCTCAAAACCAAACTAGTTGCCATCAAACTGATTCCAACTCTGGGTGACCCTGCAAATGCCAGAGCAGAACTGGACTCCATAGAATTTTTCAGCGACTGCTTTTTCAAAAGTAGTTTGCCACAACTTACTTCTAAGGCGTGGACTTGAACATCTACCCTTTCAGTTAGCAGTGGAGTGTGTTAACCAATTATACTACCCAGGAATTCCACCAGTGACGACAATGGCCCTTCTTTTGTCAGCGTATATGCCTGACTTGGGGTTAGCAGTAATATATTGTCAAGAAACAACTGTCTAATTAGAGATAGAAAAACCAATCAGGAGAGCTAGACTAGAGCAAGTATATTGGTGGTACTGCCCAAGGTGAGTGAGTCTTTACTGAACAAACTTTGACTTGCCTACCCCCAATTCCAACCTGTTGTTGTTGTGCACCCATTGCTAACCTTCTAGTGGGTTTTCAGAGGCAGTAAATCACATGGAAGTAGATTGCCCATCTTTCTCTCACAAAGCAGCTGTTGAATTTGAACCATGTGCCTTCTAGATTGCATCACAACTTCTTCTCACTAGGCCACTGGAGATCCCTTACTACTAGTCTTTAATTTCTTGAAAGAGATCTTGCTGTTTTATTTCAATCTACTTTTCTTCCCAAGCAGAATGCTAAGGAGCGGTGGGAAGGGAGAATGGTATTGCTTACATTTGAGTTGGTCTTTGCCCAACTCCAGTAAGGGTAACAAGGCCGTCTCTTTCTTAACTCCTATTTAGTTTCTGGGTTGTTTTTTTTCCCCTGGCCATTGCATTCTGCATAGAATCAAACTGATTCTATACTAAAGTTGCGTAGTATGTTGACGACTATTGACCCCCAAGTGGCTCCATATCTCTTCAAGCTTAGTCTCACTCTAACTCATTGCCATTGAGTCAGAATTGACTCATAGCTGATCCTCCAGTAGGTTTTCTGAGTCTATAAATAGCATTTGGAGGAAATTGCTCATCTTTCACCCCCAGAGCAGCTGGTGGACTCAAACCACCTGCTGAGGGTTGGCAGCACAACTCTACCCACTAGGCCACCAGATCTCCCTACTGATGTATTATAAAGTATTTATGATAACAAAATTAGTATAATTAGGATGTTGCTCCACATCAACTCCCACATTTTTGGGCAGTAGTTTTGTTCATTTCCTGTCTTAGACCAGACACCTTGTCACTGGTGTTAGCATTTACTCCCTTTTACCATGTTAGCTGATACGAATTTAATTCATCAGTCATTCATTTGAAATAGCCTATTTTTTAGCCCCTACTTACCTCTTGTTCTCACAACTTGGGTCTCTCTTGATCTTATTGCCTTTGACGTCATCCTGAAAGCTGCTGCCCAATTTACCATTACAAATCCCAAGAAAAAAACCCTGATTTCCCAACTTTCAAGATACTCTCAAATGTGACCCGCCAAGTTTATATTGTGATTCCAGCTTCTCTTTAGTTTGGACCCTGAAGGTTACTTGCACCATCTTTCTCCCTGGTACTGGAATAATGCCAGTCTAGTTTTAAAGACAGTTTATCTGGCAAGTTGCATTGTTGTTGTTATGTGCCATCGAGTCACCTGTGAATCATAGCAACTCTATGTATACAAGCCTTGTTCTATCCTGAGCCAATCTTATTGTCTCCAACACACCTACCCCATTACCCCAATCATTGAATCAATCCATCTCACTGAGGGTCTTCATCTCTTGCGCTGTCCCTCCACCCTCCCAAGCATGATGTTCCTCTCCAAGGACTAATCCCACCTTGAAACATGTCCAAAGTATGTCAGACAAAGTTTTAGAATCCTTGCCTTCAAGGAGCAGCCTAGATTAACCCTCTCCAGGACAAACTTGTTTGTTCTCCTAGCAGTCCATGGTATATTCAATATTCTGCTCCAGCACCACAACTCAAAGACATAAATTCTCCCTCTCTTATCCCTAGCCATTTTCCAGCTCTCTCCATAGCAAGTGATTGCAAAGACCATGGCCTGGATCAGGTACACTTTAGTCTCCAGACTGACATCCTTGTTCTTCAGGATTTTGGAAAGGTCTCTGACACAGACTTTCTCAATGCAATTCATCTTTTAATTTCCTCCTGGCTGCTGGTACCAAGAATGTTGATTGTAGAGCCAAGCAAACTGAAGCTGTTAACAATTTCAATCTCTTCACCATTCATCATGATGCTGCCAAACAGCCCAGTGGTAAAAATCTTTGTTTTCTTGATGTTGAGCTTCAATTCCTATTGAAAGCTGCAGTCCTTGACCTTCTGCAGCAAGTACTTCAGGTCCTCCTCAGTTTCATCAAGCAAGGTTGTTTTATCTGAGTAAGACAGACTGTTGATGAGTTACCTTCAGTCCCGATGCCACATTTCTCCTCATAGAGCCCAGACTCTATAATTGATAATCTGTTCTGCATATAGATTGAAAAGATATGGAGATAGGACACATCCTTGGTGCACACCCTTCCCAAATTTGAACCAAGCAGTATTTCCTTGCTCTGTTCTGATGACTGCCTCCTGGTCCAAGTGTAGGTTTCACATAAGCACAATCAAGTGTTCTGAGATTCCCATTCTTCTCAGAGTCAGCCACAGTTTATTGTGATCTACACAGTCAAATGTCTTTGCATAGTCAATGAAATACAGATAGACATTACTCTAGTACTCTCTGTTTTCAGCCTACATCCATCTGACTTTAGCTATAATATCCCTAGTACCATGGCCTCTTCTAAACCCATCCAGCACTTCAGGCAGTTGTCTATTAATGTGCTGTTCCAGTTATTTTTTTATAATCTTCAGCAGAATCTTGCTTGCATGTGATATCAGTGGTATTGTTTGATAATTTCCAAACTGTGCTGGATCACCTTTTTTTGGAATGAGAACAAATACAGATCTCTTCCAGTTGGTTGTCCAGGTGGTTGTCTTCCAGATTTCTTGGGGTAACTTGATGAGCACTTCCAGGGCAGCATCTGTTTGTTGAAATATGTCAATTAGTATGCCATCAATTCCTGGGGCCTTGTTTCTTGCCAGTTCTTTCAGAGCAACTTGAACTTCTTCTTTCGTCACCACAGACTCTAGCTCACAGATTGTTTCATGAAATTCTCCTGTGTCTGCCAATTCCTTTTGGTATAATGACTCCATATACTCTTTCCATCTTCTTTTAATACTTTCTGGGTTATTTACTATTTTGCCCAAAGCATCCTTAAATATTGCAACTCAAGGCACATTGCATAGGAAAGCAAAAATAATAGGCCTCACTACTTTTGAGGTGCCTTTGCCTTATAACCCATAAAATTCTGTCTTTAAAAGTCCTCATTATCATCCCAGGGAGAAGTAAACAAATATTTATTAATTGATTAACTGGCACTGGAATGCGTCCACTTAGCTTATTGCAAAAGTTTCAAGAATATAGTTTACTTTTGAAAGATTTTTGCCTTTTATACAGAATCATGAGCTATTCCACCCATCTGCTTTTAAAATTAAGAACAGGAACATGGTACTATTTTTATGTACTATCTTAAACAAAAAGTTATTTTTGACTCTCGATTATAATAAGAAATGAAAGAAATAGACACAGGAAAAGTAATAGGAATATTTAGACAGTACTGAACTTTTTTGTTGAAAAACAAAAGACCCAGATACATAAAAAATAGAGGAAAAGATGCATAATGAAGTAGACCCATATTCGGGCTTTTGAAAAGGTCATTGTTAACTAATGCATGTAGACCAGTCTAGTGGGAGAAGGGAATGGAAGTTCTTAATAAAGAGCTGTGAGGTCATGAGGCACTTGGATATGGATCATGTAGTAATTGATATATGCAATAATGTCACTGAATTTTACAGTTAAAATGGCACATGTTTTTGTTCATGTATTTTACCATAACAAAATAGAGAAGGAAGGGAGGAAAGAATGAAGGACAGACCATTAGTCCCTGGAGAAATAAAAACAAACCAATGCTATTGGTCTGACCTCCCCCTGGGCCTTGCCTCACCGGCATGGTCACATGAAGAAACTAGAAATTTCCAGAATTCAGATTCTCATTGTTAACCACCTTAGGAGTGAAATAGCAGTCTCATTGGTTAACATTTATTATTTTGTGAGCGTCTCACGTGCCAGAATCATTCTTGTGCCTTGACTTTAGATTACCTTTCATCCTTACTAGGAATTATTTCCCGTATTTGAAGGATGAGGAAGTTGGGATTTTA